GTAAAATTGCTGACGCACCTCTTAGCGAATAACCATATGTGCTGTTAGTGTGCACATTAAATCCAGTTTCATCCAAATAAATAAGTTTTTCATCTGAAATTCCGTTAATTTCGCTTGCAAATGCATAGCGTGCATTAATAATTCGTGTTAAATTTCGTTCTTCTGGCACATGCACAACACGTTTTCTTGATAAATCCGAGCGTTTGAGTTTAATTGAAATAGTAGGCTGAGACATGTTGAAACCTGCTGCAGAAAGATTTTCTTTTATTGCTTCTTGCGTGCAAAGATTGTTTTCTTGTACGCATAATTCGATAATATTTTTTATTTGAGCGTTTATAGGTCTTTCACCTCGTTTTTTATCAGAAAACGACTTGAATGCAGTCATGTCGTCGAATTCTCCTTTGTTTAACTTAACGACAAGATTTTGAACTGTGCGCTTCGATAAATTAAGAGAAGTGGAAATGCTTGTTGTAGATTGATTTCTTCCAACTAAATGCTTAAGCATTTCAATGTGCTCTTTTGTAACATTTTTCCTTGTTTTACGATTGGTACTGCTATTTTCTATTCCATCCATAGGGTAAATCTAGAAAAATAAATAATTAGATAAAAAATAACTTAATCAATCAAGAAATTTAATACAATAATACAATTTAATGCAATGTTATAAAATTAAATACTAAATTAAATAAACCATCATCAAATGTAAAAAGTCTTCGTCTTAAATATTTTTAAACTCGTTTACCAGGAAATAAGAAAAAGTTACGGGTTTCACTCTGACATCACTCTGACCTCTTTAAAGTATTTCAAAAAAATATTTACTTATCTTGGCTCATTTCAAAAATATATAACTTCTATTTAAACAAGATTAATTCAAATCCTCCTCCCCAACCAAAAATTTTAAACTTATTTTAAATTGCCGTTTTTGAGAAAAATATCTGATTTAACTAAAAAATTGAATTCAATTGCTAAATTCAATTGCTAAAAGATATTGCCGTTCAGCAAATATTAATATAGTATTTACCTCACTGAAAATTTCTAAATTCTTTTCTTCTAAAGATCCTTTTCCTCAAGAGCTCAAATTGTTCGCGGTGTATAAATTTGTATGCGCAGAATGTAACTCGTGTTATATAGGCGAAACTACTCGCCATCTCAAGACCCGGATATCTGAACATTACAAGAGGGACAAAAAGTCTCACATCTATAAACATCTCCATGAACAAATAAAAATTGTTCCATGCAAACAAGTGGTAAGTGTTTTTCTGTTTAAGATCTGGCATCTCACAAATTTGAGTTAAAACTTAAAAAAAAGTATGTTCATAGAATGGTTAAAACCTGTTATGAATAAACAGGTTAACCATGTACAAATAACATTTATGTTTAGCTGCTATTTTTTATACATATTGCGTATCTTATTAACTTATTCTTTTGATTATTTAGTATACTAAATAATCAAAAGAATAAGTTAAAAAAGTCATGTCATATATATAATATAAATATCATGTCATATATGACATGATAGACTTTTTAATTGTTTAGATAGAATTATTATTAGTTTGCTCAAGAAAAATTATATTTTGTATTATTTTTTTAAACACCTATAGGTATTTTAACAAATTTTAAATATTTAACTTTAACGGAAGATATATATATATATATATATATATATATATATATATATATATATATATATATATATATATATATATAGTATATATATATATATATATATATATATATAAATATATATATATATATATATATATATATATATATATATATATATATATATATATGTATATATATATATATATATATATATATATATATATATATATATATATATATATATATATATATATATATATATATATATATATATATATATATATATATATATATATATATATATATAAACAAATTTTTAATATATAATTTTTTTTTTCCTTTAAGTGAAATAAAACTTGGCATTACTTAATGAATATAAATTTTATAAAATAAAAGGTTTTTTAATTTTTATTTTTGTTGCCACGGTTTTTAATTTACTTTTTTGTTGCCTGTCAAATATTAAAAAAAAAAAGATTGATCAAATAGAATCTTCTCACGATTATTACGGTTATATGAAAGTTACAACCTTAATTATTTTCAAAGGTTAAAACCTTTTATACTATTTGTTAAATTTGATTAAAAAAAAGATTTAGGGTTTAAATAACTGATTAGTAAAAGAGTTGAACGAAATTGCTGTGGCACAGTAATTGGTTATAGTGCTTGCTTAAGATTAAAGTGATTCGATATTCAATGACTGCTCAGACTTTATATGCAATATTGGTGAGAAAGGTGGCGTGAACTTTCTTTTCAAAAGATTTTCCACGGTATTTTTATGATAGGAATAATAGGACTTCTCGGACCACCTTATTTACAAGTGAAAAAAAAGCACAACAATAATAAAAAAAACCCTAAACTTTAAAAGTAACTTTTGGCTTTTTTTCATGTTCTTCTATATGCGGCTATGAGATCTACTACTCCCTCAATAACAAACCGTAATGTAACACAATTAATGTTGTTATTATTATAATTTTTATTATACTATATGTATATATATATATATATATATATATATATATATATATATATATATATATATATATATATATATATATATATATATATATATATATATGTATGTATGTATATATATATGTATATATATATATATATATGCATATATATATATGTATATATATATATATGTATATATATATATATGTATATATATAAAACACACGTATATATTGCGCAACCCAAGTGGCATGACAGAATATGAACAATAAAAAAGTAAAATAATATTTCTAAATTTATTAAATTATTTGAATCCTAAAAAGTTAACGTTAACTTTTTCGGATTTAATTAATTTAATAAATTTAGAAATATTATTTTACTTTTTTATTGTTCATATTCTGTCATGCCACTTGGGTTGCGCAATATATACGTGTTTGTTTTTTTATATGTGTGTGTGTGTGCGCGCGCGCGTTTACATTATATATATATATATATATATATATATATATATATATATATATATATATATATATATATATATATATATATATATATATATATATATATATATATATATATATATATATATATATATATATATATATATATATAGATAGATAGATAGATAGATAGATAGATAGATACATATATATATATATATATAAAATTTTTTTTTTTTTTATAAAGTTACAATTAAAGGAGACCGAGGCTGCTTGTAGGGGTAATTTGCAACTGCATTTTAAAGAATGGTTTTTATATATAACACCTAAATTTTTTTTACATTTCAAAGTTTTTTGGGTTTTACTGTAAACTTGGAGGTATATGACTATAATAAAATAATGGTAAGTTAAAAAATCTTTTACAAACACAAAAAGCTAAGAAAAAGATTTATTTAATGTAAATAATTATATACATTGATTAGAGTGATCATGATGCCTAAGGGGTAAGTTGTATCAACTTGCTTGGGGTCGAATCATAAAACAACTGAGGGTATTATTAATTTTACGCAATTTTAAAGTTTTTTCTGAAATATTAGTCGTTTTTTAACAAAGAAACTAATTCTTAAAAGCGAAAATCATACTACATCAACAACAACAACATTAACAACAAAAAAACATTTAAATCTATTTGTTGAATCGAAATTAAATTTAATTCTTTAGTTTCTTACTTTATTGTTTTTAATGAAAGTTTATTTTTAGAAAAATCTTTTTTTGTTGTTATCTAAGTTTGATTTTTGTTTAGTTTAGTTTTTTTAATGAAATTTTGATGAATATTTATTTTATTTTTTAAAATTTTATTTTTTTCTTTTAAACAAAATGATATTGTGTATTTATATATATGGTAGTGTAATATAAATGTAGTTTTAAAAATTTTGTAACAACTAGTTCTGGCCTCGTTTACTAGAACAATAAAAAGTAATATAGTATTTTTAAATGGATTAAATTACATAAATCCTAACATGTTAACTACGTTTTAAATCATTCTCAACAGAATTACAATTACTTATTAAATAATTTTTTTTTTTTTGACTATTAAGGTGCTCTTAGAAGTTTCTACGGTCTTAGAAGTTCCTACATAGAGCGCCGTGGAGGAGCATAACTAGAAAGTTCACGCCTACTTCCTCAGCAATGTCGCTTTTTGGGCGTCGAACCTCAAACCTCTTGGTTTCGAGGCAGAACACTAACTACTGTGCCACGCAAATTGATGAAAAACATATAAGATTTTTTAACTTGGTGACCAATTGGTATCACCTCTGTGATGATTTCTCTTTGTGTGATCCACACTCTCTTCACTCTCTACATCTGATTATTTTTTTCAAGTCCAATAATATCTGGAAGAATTTTTTCCAGATGTAATTACATCTGAAAAAATTCCTAAATGCAACTACATCTGGTTAAAATAATGCATTATTAGTTAATTCATCTTAAAAATAACTTCATCTTAAAATCTACAGGTGTAATTGCACAGATGTTATTACACTTTAATAATTTAAAAGATGTAACTACATCTGTAATATTCATTTAATTTTTGCACAGATGTTATAAGACACCAATGAAATTTCAGATATTGTTGGACAAATGTTATTATACCTCATTATATTTACAGATTTTGCTGGACAGATGTTATTAGACATGGCAAAAACTGATGTTGTTACCCTGACCTTTCCATACCCTAGTGACGCCGCCAACATGAGCGATTAACTTTTTATTTAAGTTTGTTGACCCTTAAAATATAATCTGAAAAGTGCCATGTTTTAAACTGCGAAGTAAAAAACTGAAGTAAAAAACTGAAGAGCGTCTCCTAGACTACTATTAAATTTGTTTTGAAGCACGTTATCGACGCTTGTTCATCTCTATATATTTTTGCCTAGCATAATAAAGCTAGTTAATAAAAATTATGCTCATCTTCAGATGCAAATGGTTATCTGTAAGCGGTTAGCGGTCAAAGAGTTTTCCGCTTCACAGCATCCAAAAACTCTACTTTTTAAAGCTTTTCTTGAATCTATTAATCTTTACAAATATTATCGGAAACATATGCAATTTATTAAAAAACAGTATTTAAAAACAGTACATATTTAATACAGTAAAGGATTTGTTTACGAAAAGCCGTACAAGCCTGTTAAAAAAGTATTGAAATTATAATATTGTCAAAATAATTGTCTTATTATCAAGTTTATTATTAATAAACATGTAATAATATTATATCAATAATATTAAGTATCGTCTACTGCAAAAGTGTTTACAAAACTAATTAATATCCAATGGACGTGTCCTAATCTAAAGACATCAGTGTTGTGAAAAAACAAAATTTTATAAAATTAAAATAACACTTTTTGATTTTCAAAAGCGGGTCGGTAATATTTAAAAAAATATTGTTCTAAATAAATTGCCAAAATGTTTTAAATTTTTTATAATAACTGAAAAAAAACTTTTAGTCTGAAATCAAACTATTAAAATCAAACCACTGCCAAGAAATATAAAACCAGATTTTAATATCTTGTAAAATTTATCTTTAGTTAAACATCAATAACAGCGTTTACAATTAAATTTATTGTTATTTTTTTTTTAGTTTTTCCATATAAATTTATTTTTTAAAAAAGTAGAAAAAAAAGTATATGCAATATTTTTAATAGAGTTATTTTATTCACATATACATGTGTATATGTTTCAGAAAAATTATGTTATTTCAAAAAGTTAAAAAAGGCTTATGTGCTTATATCATAACTCATGAGTTTCTCAAAATAACCAGTGGTAAAAAACCTACTGAACGACTCTATGGTTAGTCATATTTAACAAGATAACTAGAAAAAATAGTTCAAAAGAAAATTGTTCAGTATGTTGTTGGAGCCTACTATCTAATGAGGTTTCGTATTAAGGCAAAGTGTTCTATTATTGAATGCCCAAGATATCTTTTAAAAACCTTGAGGTTATTAAATATTCAGAACCAAGTTACCAGAGATGTTGTTGAAAAGTTAGAAGCCAGGAGCATGGTTTTTCACAATACTATCTTATTTTAATTTATAGTATATTATTTATATTTTGTGAGAAAAATTATGTTGTATGATTCAATACAATGTCATACATAGAATATCAAATAAGCTGTTAAAGAGACAAGAGCTGTGGTATCTAGGATTACTACGTGTCCAGTTTTTATGTAAGAGCACAGTGCAAAACCAATTAAAATCTAAATTTTCCCTACCTTTTTCTTAAATTGAAAAACAAATCTGGTAACCTTACTGCTACCATTTGTGTGACATGGTTCTTGAGGTGGTTGAATTTAAGTAGATTGTCACCAGAAGAAAATTTAAACAAAATTTTTTTTTTTTTCTAATTATAAATTTGCATAATTATGCACTTTATGTGCAAATAAAAATATAAAAGATAATCCATTATTTATATATTTTTATAGCTGAAGCAGTTGTGTTTTTTTTTATTTTTATAATTAGTCAAAGTTCTTCAATTTAGAGTTTATCATTTATAAGAAATCAAACATATAAAATGCAAGAATGTTTCTAAATAAAAAAATGTTAGGTTTATATTGGTGTCTAATAAAGATGTTTTCTAAAATTGTTGTGAAAATATATAATTAAACCTCTTCAATATTTTTCTGAAAAATTTAACAACAAATTTTTAAAAAGTTGTTTTTTTAAAAAAATGACTCTTTACTATTTTAAATTAGATATAAAAACACTTGTAAAAAAAGCTAGATGCAACAACATCAGATACTGCTTTCTAAACAAATTTATTTTTCTTCAAATAGGTCTATAAACAGCATCATTAAAGTTTTTTCAGATTTTATCTATTATCTATCTGCAATGAAAAATGAGTAGTTTTTTCTGAGACATGGTGAGGTTTCAACTCTGTAATTCTTGTTATAAACCAAGCACTCATGTACAACATCTAAACTTATGTTTTTTTTTTGCACAGTAAAACAAGTTGAGTCTGGGAGAAAAAAAGAAGTTGACCAGGGGAGGGGTTATGACAGGATTTTAATCACTTTTTATGAAGTAAGTGTTCTACTCCACTTTTATATATTTACAAAAAGTCTATAAAAACAATCTCAATAATATGTTTATATGTTTACAAATGTTATCTATGAATATGGTAGTATTTCTTTAGATAACATTTAAAATAAACATGAATAACTTATACAATAAACAACTGATAGTTTGTTAGTAAATCTTTCCCAAATTTACTTGAACTGCTTGAAATGCTATCTAAAAAGAATGATAGTGGGGATTTCCATTCCTGTGTGTGATTTTTTGTTTTTGTTTGTTTTAGCAATTAAAAGCTGGGACTTAAAGCAATATGCATACTGTTATGATTTTCTTAAAAAACATTTATAACAAAAATATTTTTATCATATTATAGGCTACCTGAATAAATTCAATATTTCTATTTTGATCTTTTTTTTTTGTGCATAATATCGCTAATGTTTGAAAACAAACAACAATTTTCAAAACGCTATACTTTAGCTAGAAATAATTGATAATTTAGCTAGAAATGATTGATGCCATTTCTCATTGAAAATATACTAAATATGAGTCATAAAAGTATAATATTTCACTTAAAATACTCACAAGCAATTTATTTTCTTAAAAATATCTACAAGAAATTAATAAATTTGCAACTTCCGTGCGTGACTTCTGTGCATGATCATTCATGAGCTGCATTTAAACAATTGCTGTGACTCTATAGTGCTCTATAGTGATACATAGTGCAATCCTGTAACTTTCTGGAAAGCTTTACTAATGTTTAAAACATCATTTAAAAAAATATATATAACGCTGAAACTTATATTTTTTGAGGAATTAAAGTTTATCTAGTAACTAAAGTTTGAGTTTTTCTGTTATGAGCATGATTCTGTTTCAAACCTTATTTATTCTTTGTTAACATTACTAATGTATACCATTATTTGTTTACAAAATATTTATATAGGTTAGAATTAAATGAGAGCAAATTGAAGATCGTCAGTTTTATTATTATATAAAAATAGAGAAAACATATATGAGTTTCTGTGCATGGATTTTTGGAAATGCCCTTGTGTAAGGTTATTAAGTTAAAGTTAGAATTAGAAATGTAAAGGCTTCTAACTTCACATCTAACCTCCTAAATCTTAACCTATACCACTCTCTCATTATCTAACCCATGTTACATTAAATTTAGTTTTCATAAGTATTTATCAAACATTCTATTAAATGTATTTATGCAAAGAGAATTAAACTTTTTTAATTTTTTATATATGTGTGCTTATAACTTATTATTCATTTTTATTTTATATATAAACTTATTTATTATATATATATATATATATATATATATATATATATATATATATATATATATATATATATATATATACATTATATATATATATATATATATATATATATATATATATATATATATATATATATATATATATATATATATATAATATATATATATATATATATATATATATATATATATATATATATAATTATATTTTTAGAGCTCTACAAATTGATTCGATTTGCAAATTAAGTGTTGCTTTGATTTAATTCAAAAAAATGATTCAAGTTTTTTAAATCACTATTTATTTTATGAGTGTTTTTTCAGATATCCAACGCTAAGATGCTATCAAAATGTTTTTATTTATCTTAGCCCTAGTAAATTAATTGTAATCGAAAGTAATTGTAATACTGCTTTCAAACAACTGTTAAAAAATTATTCCTTGCAAAAAAGATATTTTGAGTAGATTTTTTTTTTGAAAAAAGTTGTTTAAATTTGTATTTTTTTATATTGGTGATTCGATTTGTGAGTTGATTTGTAAATCAAGGCCTGCTTTGATTCGAAACTAAAAATGCTGATTCGCAGGACCCTAATATATATATATATATATATATATATATATATATATATATATATATATATATATATATATATATATATATATAATATATATATATATATATATATATATATGTTTAAAAAAACAATAAAATAATCAAAAAAAAGTTTATACATAAAAATATCTTTGCTAATTCAGCTGTACATATAATATCACATATAACCTCATACTAAAATAGCCTAAAAGGCCCTTTTGTATATACATCAACTTAGGTTTGGGTTTGAGCTACAAAATCTAAGCTTTCTCAGCTCTCAGCTAATAAGTTAGACTAAAAAATTAAATTATTAAGACCATCATTTTGGTTAATTTACCTTTGAAAAAAGCTGATATAAATTTTTTTATTTCAATATTTCAGTATGAAATTATAAGTTTTATGTTCTATGTAGAGCAAATAGTTTACTAAGATATTTTTGTATATGATTATTTTTTTAAATTTAGCTACATAAGTATTGTATTGATTTAAATTCTAGTTTTTAAAATCAAATTTTGATAGATCTCATGATGGCATCAAATACCATGCAAGTCACAAATTGTTTGTTAGAGCCAACTTTTCTAAATTCTGTTATGTCTGGAAATGAAATTCTGGATGAAAAAATAAAAGAATGGCTTCAATGGGATAGGGTAATTATAAGTTATAAGAATTATTATCACAATTTTTTATATGCAGCTTTGAGTTTCTTTAACTAAAAATTTTGTACATTTGCTACAGTTCTATGCCATAAAATTGAGTGCAATAAGTTTTCAACAGGCATAACCAAAAAAAAAATAACATTGCTTTCGAGGTGATATACCATGATATAATTTTTATATGACAAATATAACAGGGCATGAAATGACAAAATTTCATTATAAGTACCACCTATTTAATGATAAATAATATATATATATATATATATATATATATATATATATATATATATATATATATATATATATATATATATATATATATATGTATATATATATATATATATATATATATATATATATATATATATATATATATATATATATATATATATATGTATATGTATATGTATATGTATATGTATATGATATATATATATATATATATATATATATATATATATATATATATATATATATATATATATATATATATATATATATGTATATTAGGGATATGACAATTTCATAACCCTTTATGCCCATATGATAATTAGTGGAGGTTTTGTGTACAAATAACGAATAAGTATTTTTTTTTTTGCTTAAAAAAAGTTCACTCTCCAAATGAGAAAATGATGTGTCTAAGATATAACATGTTAGTATATTCACATAAAAGTTACATCATTTTACAATAATATTTTACATTTTACAATACATCACTGATAAATAAATATACCAGTATTTTTCTAATGTTTATTACTTAAAAGAAATTTAACATTCAACTTTTCAGTCGATCTGCAGAGTGGAAACAGGTCTTGCATTACTTTAATGGCATGCTCAGCATATATACTTGAACGCTGGGTTGCTATAGGCGTAGGCTCTACTGACCAAAACTTCCTCAATGAATGCAAAGCCTTAGGATACTCTTAACAAGCTTCTGACAAATTATCAAAGTCGGCAAGATTGAAGAACTGAGAAGAGAGCCAGACCTTTGACCATGAACCACAGATGAAAACACATGCCACTTTTGCTGTTTGTCTAAACTCTGGCATCAGGATGAAACTAAGCAAAATATAAATGGCTCTTGAGTTCCATCTTGCATTACTCATAGATGGAAGTGATCGGAAATGCACTTTTGGGAAACTTCCTGTACTTTTGAAAAACCTGTAGCATGATATTAAGTGATCAAGAAAGGACATTTCATCTCGCCAGCGATCCTGTTCTTCTTTCTCCTGTTCTTTTCCTGTATTATCAAATGATTTCTTCAATTGTTCATAGTGACCTTTTATTTGTGAAATAAAGGAATAACAGATGTTTGGTGAATTTGTTGTTCCCCCAAAATGATCATTTATGACGTGTTTCAAAATCATATCCAGAATATGGTGTTGACAACCAATAAACACAGGTTTTTCTAATCCAATATCTTCAAAGTGCTTCTTCAACAGTGTTGAAGAAGCACTTTGAAGATATTGTTATGAGTGGACATATTGTTATGAGTGGACATTTATCGTGGACATTTATCATTTCTTTCAAGAATATATCATTAATATATATATATATATATATATATATATATATATATATATATATATATATATATATATATATATATATATATATATATAAATGTATGTATATATATCAATCCTCGAAATTAGGGTCAGGATTTGGCAATGCCGACCTAACTACTGACCTAGAAATGTTGAAGTGTTAAAAGGTCAGCAAAAAATCACCGACCTTGTTTTTTTTATTTTTTTATTTTTTTTTATTTTAATTCACCTCCTCAAGGCCGAGAAGGCCACTACAGACGAGGAGGCTACTTGTTTGTGGTTATAACCCTCTCTCAACTCTATAACTCCGAAACACGAACCTTGACGAGCAAGGCCGCTGCTCGGAGAAACGAGTTGAGCGCGGTACTACCAGGGATGTGGTGGGGATCGAACTCGGAACCACTCATTTATGAAGCGAGCGCTCTACCACTACACCACTACCGCATTATAATCAATGTTTCAATGTTTTATGATAAAATCTTTGTACCAAATTTTTTTTGACGACCTCTAACAGATTAAGGCTGTAAAAATATATAAGGGTGATATATATATATATATATATATATATATATATATATATATATATATATATATATATATATATATATATACACACATATATATATATACATATACACATATGTTTTCTGATGAGTCTTTATTGATGAAACACAGTGTTAAATAAGAAAAAATTTTGCTAAGTGATTTTCTACTAATTTATACATATACACACATTTATATATATATATATATATATATATATATATATATATATATATATATATATATATATATATATATATATATATATATATATATATATATATATATTTTTTTTTTTTTTTTTTTTTTCTCATATATTTTGTGCCTTTTAATTCTTAAATGTGAGCTATAATTTTTCAGAAAAAGAAGAAATAATGATGCTTCATAAAAAAATGATTGCTCTATCCAGTCAATTTATCGAACCATTTCCAATGGTATATAATGAAGGGCTCTTCCAACTGTAGATAACCTTTTTATTTTTTATGTGTATAATAATTTTAAACTTGAAACTAAAAAATATATTAAAAGCAGTAAGCTAAGTAGTTATGTTAGGTTAAGCTACTGAGAAGTATATGTTAAGCTACTAAGAAGTTTTAAAATTGCATACTTACAATAAGTTTTTTGTAAATAGTTTTGACCTTAAACACATTTTTTAAAATATGAGGGTTTGTTTACACCCACTCATTTTGAATTCTTTGTGATATCAAAACTAGGTTATTATTTTATCAAAATTATTAAACCAATAATTTATACATCATATTTCTTTGTTAGAAAATTGTTTTAATAAAACAAGTTTAAGGTTGTATTAGTCGGGGAAACATGAAGATGGGAGAAAGTTCCAAAGAGTTGCACGAAAAAAAAATTAGACAAGTAAAATTTTTTAGAGCATGCAGGTACAGATACAGTAAATGAATGGGACTTTGCCGAATGATGAGTTAAAGAAGAATGAGTTTTAGTTGACGGAACTAGCGATAATAGCTCCTTTAAACAGCATCCATGATAGTATTTGTAGAAAGAGAAAGAGATGCAACTTTACAATGATGGGAAAGAGGCTCAAACTTAGCAAATAGAGTGGATCCAACTACGTTTACAATGCGTTTTTGGACCTTGTTTAGAAGAGAAAGAGCATCATCAGATGTACCAGCCCAAATATGACAACAGTATTCCATACAGGAATGATTAAGGGATTTTTAGAGGTAGAGAATGGAATAAGGAAAGAGAAAATAATGAGCATGATAAAAAGAAGCAATTAGCAGATGCTAATATTGCAATCAATTGTATGTATAGTTTCCATGGAAGGTCAGTATTAAATGATAATCCAAGAAGAGGTAAAGAAGAGAACTCAGTGAGAGGGTTGCCATTCATTAATATAGGAATGTAAACAGTACTGCATTAGTTGTTTGCAGTAAATAACTAGTAAGAGTTTTATTGGAGTTAAAATTTACAAGGCGCTGTGAGCCCCAATCTGTTACAAAGGTGAGACCAGATTCAAGATCGACTGCCTGTTCTAAGCCATCAAAAAGAGAAGTCTTTTTGTCAAGACAGGGCTATAGAGTTGAGTCATTAAAAAGAGCTACTTTAGATGTAAGGTTGTCAGGAAGATCAATAATTTAGATAAGAAACAAAACAGGACCAATGATAGAACCCCAAAAGTTACTGGAAATGAAGAAAAGTTGGTCTTCAAGGATGATTTAAATGAAGTGGTTAGAAAGAAATGATTTGATAATCTCAAAAACTTTACCAGATACAACATATGAAACAAGCTTATGGAGAAGACCAGCATGCCAAACTTTGTCGAAAACTATTGATGTGTCCAGTGCAATAGCCCTAGCTTCTCCCTTCTATCTAATGCAGAATAAAATTTTTCAGTCACAGCAGTTAGCAAGTCAGCTGTTGAGTGAGAGGATAGAAAACCGTATTGATTGCTATATTGACAGTAAGTTATTTGACTTAAGATAAGATGTGAGAGTTTTATTGATCAAAGACTCAAAGACCTTGCTAATAACAGAAAGAAGACTGATTGGATGATAATTAGAGCGGTCAAAATTTTCACCTGAGTTTTTGAAAATCGGAACAACAGATGCCATTTTCCAGCAGCTAGGAAAACAAGATTTGGATGATAATTAGAGCGGTCAAAATTTTCACCTGAGTTTTTGAAAATCGGAACAACAGATGCCATTTTCCAGCAGCTAGGAAAACAAGATTTAATCAAGCCTTTGTTAAATAGTTTAGAGAGAATTGAAGAGAGTACGTGAAAATAATTTTGTAAGACTATGACAGAAATGTTGTCTAGACCACAAACTGTATAAGAGTTTAATCAAGATATGACTTTGAAAGCTGGAATGATTTGAATGTCTAATAATGGGTTAATCTCTTTAATTAGAAAGGAAGGAAGAGAATGGCCATAAATGGCTTTATCATTGGGACAGGTAATAAGATCTGTCCCATGAATGAGAGATGGAATATTACACCTAGCTTTTTTAACAACACTGTTGAAAATTTTCTAAAAGTCTCGAGCCTAACTTCTGAGATAATATGAAAGATTTCGTGAACTGAGAATAATGGAGCTTAGCATCTGACAGCACCTTTTTATATTGATTTCTTGCAATAATAAATAACCATTTGTTCTCAAGGGAGTTCTTTTTTTGAAAAAGACGGAAAAAATGTTTACAATTAGCAGCTGCACAAGAGGGTCAAAACCATAGAGTAGAATGAGGCTTGACTTAGAAACAATGAGAAGGAATAAAAGCTTCCATTCCTGTCTGAATCTAGCGGGTTTGTAGGAGGTATATTTTTCAGCTGAGAGGGAAAAGACATCAACCCAAGGAGTATAATTACCTACCCTATGCGATTTTTGTTGATATGGTCTGTTTTTACATGAAAAAAAGAAATAATAAATGA